ATAATACTCTAGGTTATTACAATTTAAGGAGATCTATAACTAGGATGGGGCAACATGGAGGGAAGTGTAATTAACCCTTACACTTACCACCTGCCATCCATTACTGTGATGTATTCCAGAGATCTCCTTTCAGATTCAATCTGCCATAACAAGCTAATATATAAACAAGTGCAGTGCGAGAGCCTACCAATAATCCATTCAAATATCCAATAGGTAGACTGTTGATTTAAGTCGTAATTAAAAACATATTACAAATTCATACCTAAGAGAAGGTATCATGGGGTTCCTGCTATTCTATTCATTAGCTAGGAAAATCTCCCTCGGTGTGACTCTCTGATTTAGTTTCACTTTGTTACTAGGTGCATGACAACCAAGATCAATGGGGCAAGACCTGCCCAACTGTCACCCTCCAGTGGGAGTAATTTGATGGCCATTACCGGCAGTGTTTTTGGCCAGATGGTATGCAGAACTTTGACCAAAAATCAGGGAATTTGATTGCCAATAAAAAAGAGGAACAAAATCAGAGAGGTGCACATGTGTATGGTAGCATGCATCCTTATTTAGAGATTGCTAAAGCTTTTGTATTTGGGGAATGATTTGCAACGATTATTATCTACTGATCCTTCGACTAGCAACAATGTCCAATGAGCTTCCTGTTGCAGGTTGTGGGACTACAGGACCCTGTATCTCTATAATCACCCGCCTGCCCATATGCTGTGGCAATACCTCCCTCAGTGTCCTGTCACATCTGATTGGCAATTACTCCAGAGGGATTACCTGACCATGTAATGCACAGGAGCTGTCTATGGTGTGTGGATAAACAGCAGTAGTGTCCAGAGGGAGCATGCAAGCCATGCACAGCACATGCCTTCAAAAATAAGAAAAAAAAGGGTTTTAGAAAAATATATCAGCTAAAAACCGAAATGATCTAGTATGTATGGCAAACCATTCTTTACTGGTGACATATTTTGTGGGGAGTCACTCATACTTAAAGTTTAAAGGTTTAAAACAGCTGACAGGTTCACTTTAAGGTGCCAATGGTCGCTAGAAATTAAGCCATTTTCAATTATTGTCCGCGTTCTGCAGGTTTCAGACAACAAACTACCCACTAAACACAATGCAGTTCAATACAAGGGTAACCCCACCCCTGACAGCAATCAGGATCACAAAACGAGAACAGTTTAAAAAAGAGCACAAAAGCTGATATTATGTAATTTCATTGCCTTGCAGTACTTAGGGTCCCCGGTATACATCCCAGTCAGGACACTATCTGCAAGGAGTTTGCATGTTCTCCCTGTGCTTGCATGGGTTTCCTCTGGGTAGTCAGGTTTCCTTCCACACTCCTAAGACATGCTGGAAGGTTAATTGGCTCCTCTCTAAGTTGGCTCTATATGTATGCATGTGAGATAGGGACCTTAGATTGTAAGCTCCTGTGGGGCAGGGACTGATGTGAATGTGCACCGTGTAAAGGCAAATTGTTGGCGCTATATAAATACCTGCAATAATAAATAATGATACATTGGTAATGTTATCTTTATTACAGTAATTTTACGACGGTTTCAGAATATATACTATTATGATTGTGTCAGAGAATACAGATAATGTGATGAGCACTTAGATATTTTTATTTCGGCAAATCTATGACTGATTTTTGTATTATTACATCAGCTATTGTTGTATATATTATGTGTTATAATGAGGAACTCCCGAATGCTATTCGGCAATTTGGATCCCGAATGCCATTCGGGTCTAGGAGACTCAGCTTTAGTATTAATATCTGTAGACGGTTTTCTGTGGTATTGGCAATATTCGTAAACTCATCCGAAACTAACGACAATTCGGTTTTCGTCCGAATCCAAAACCCAAACCAAATTGAATTTTGGATCCGAATTATCTTGCTGACAGGTCTCAGACCCTCTCCTTTCATTAATTGGAATTCAATTGTTTTAATCATTGCATCACACGTGGATGTTATCTATTACAGTCTGCATTCAAAGACAGCCTGCCTCGGACACCCACTCCTCCAGACTGGCACCTGCTGATGAAGGCATTTTGATATTTGCATAACTCCTCCCAAGAGCCAGCCCGCTGCTTGCATCATGCTGAGACCCCTCCCACCAGCCATGATCTGCCTGCATTGCATAAAGAAGCACAGAGATCCGTGCGGTCACGGAGTAGCCCACAACTGTCGATTGCGCTGGCGGTGCCATTATTTTCTAATGGCACTCCAGTCGCATTGGGCGGATTGCGCGGTTTCCTGCCCGTGCAATCTAAAAAAGCTGTGCTTCGTGTGTCACAAAAAAACATACATGTACCTTTTTTCAGAGATTGCCGCGCTGATGTAACCCCATTGAAATCAATGGGGTCGTGCGGCAAATGCTGTGTGCAACTGCACACGATCGTGCATTCCCAGGACGTGTGTCTTGTATTGCCCAGGTCTGCACCAGCCCTTTAAAAAAATGTAATTACCACAGTGAAGGCAAAATATAAGCAGATTAAACTTCAGCTTTAAATCTTCAACGGTCCACTTCCTTTTTAACGTTCCTGGCTAGATACGGATCTACAATAATAAAGTTCAAGAACAACAGAGTCACAGATTATCTTTTCTGCATTTGGAGCAGATACTAAAATCAAATACAGAATCTCCACTACAGTCAATCATAAATAGTCACAAGACATGAAAAGAAAAAAGAGAGAGACAGACACTTGTCTTAATTATGACCTCATTGAGCTCAGAAACAAGTGCGAGGAAGGTCGCTTCAGTCCAGCAAGGATAAAAAAGACAGGTAAGAGTGGATTAAATAGGTCTGACTACATAGATTAAAGTTGATCAGTGTCTAGGAATAAAAGATACATTTTCCATTATAGCCAATTAGCCTGCAACACAATTTACATTGCCAATCATCCAGAAATATACAGACAGCTCATGAAACATTGTAAAATATTAGCAGTATGTGTGAATTTGTTATAGAACAACTATAAGTTTATGGGCAACAAAAATATCATATTGAATAGACATATAGATTTCACTCCGAATGGCTATCCATCCGAATTTCGTTCACTTGGGACATTTGGATGCATCCGAATTTCCGAATTTGAATGCAAACAAATCCCAATAGTCCTTCAATTAAAATTTGGATCCATCCGAATTTCTTTCAAAACAAAACTAAATCGGACATGGTACTGCTCTCTGGTCAATCAGATGGGGGGGGGTTTTTGGCTGTTGCGGGTTCCATTACAGGCACGGTCATGTGACGAACCGAAACTAAATTTCTGATCCGAAATCTTAAAAACAAAAGAAAGAAAAATCTATGTTTATCTGAAAGTAAAGGAAACAATGTTTTTGCAGGGTTACATATCCAATATTGAACTTGAAACACAACTAAAAAGGTACACACAATTTAATAGTTATAGTATATTCAGTACACTGTTACTTACTGTATCACCCTTTATGACACTTGTGACTCCTGCCTGTTTTTTATGGTACGGGCAACCTCTTTGCACATGTGAATGAGCCCTAAAGGACCAATGGCAAAAATGCTATCATAGTATAATGTATTAGGTGTATGTTATCCAGTATGAGGTGTATGTTATCCAGTATTAGGTGTATGTTATCCAGTATTAGGTGTATATTATCCAGTATTAGGTGTATATTACACAGTATTAGGTGTATGTTATCCTGTATTAGGTGTATATTATCCAGTATTAGGTGTATGTTATCCTGTATTAGGTGTATGTTATCCAGTATTAAGTGTATGTTATCCAGTATTAGGTGTATGTTATCCAGTATTAGCTGCATGTTATCCTGTATTAGGTTATATTATCCAGTATTAGGTGTATATTATCCAGTATTAGGTATATGTTATCCAGTATTAGGTGTATGTTATCCAGTATTAGGTGTATGTTATACAGTATTAGCTGCATGTTATCCTGTATTAGGTGTATATTATCAAGTATTAGGTGTATGTTATCCTGTATTAGGTGTATATTATTCTGTATTAGGTGTATATTGTCAAGTATTAGGTGTATGTTATCCAGTATTCGTGTATGTTATCCAGTATTAGGTATATGTTATCCTGTATTAGGTGTAAGTTATGTAGTATTAGGTGTATGTTATCCTCCATTAGTTGTATATTATGCAGTATTAGGTGTATGTTATCCTCTATTAGTTGTATATTATGCAGTATTAGGTGTATGTTATCCTGTATTAGGTGTATATTATCCAGTATTAGGTGTATGTTATCCAGTATTAGGTGTAAGTTATGTAGTATTAGGTGTATGTTATCCTCCATTAGTTGTATATTATGCAGTATTAGGTGTATGTTATCCTGTATTAGGTGTATATTATCCAGTATTAGGTGTATGTTATCCAGTATTAGGTGTAAGTTATGTAGTATTAGGTGTATGTTATCCTCTATTAGTTGTATATTATGCAGTATTAGGTGTATGTTATCCTGTATTAGGTGTATATTATCCAGTATTAGGTGTATGTTATCCAGCATTAGGTGTATGTTAACTAGTGTTAGGTGTATGTTATCCTGGATTAGGTGTAGGTTGTGCAGTATTAGGTGTATGTTATCCTGTAGCATCCAAATGGGAGAAGAGAAGGCATTAGACTATGAAGGTTATTTATGTGTCCTTATTTTGATTGTGGTCTGTTCACTAAGCTAGAACATATATAGTATATCTGTAAAAAATAACTCAAGGCAACTGGACTTGCTCTATTTTTCTTGAAGGCGTTTTGCCGGTCATCTGACTAGCTTTTTTAATTCAGAATTGAGAAAGCTAGCCGGATGACCAGCAAAATATCAGAAAAATAAAGCAAGTCCAGTTGCCTTGATTTATTTTTTTACTGATATACCATGACTTGGGTGAATGAGAACATTCACAGACAACATATATAGTAGTTTCACATCTGTGCGGTTTTTTCGGTTCACAAGGTTTTATGGCTCAGTTGGATCTAGTTAGTGGTGGCAATACTAGAGAGTTCACTGGAAATTTAAATGAAAGTCTCTTTGCAAAATGTAAGGAATGTTCAACCATCACTTGCCCCTGATTGACCTTAGTTGTCAGTCCAATGAGCTGTTTGGGGGGAAAGCAGGAAATGGAACCGTTACGGGAAGGGAATGAAGATGGATTCAAGAAGTGAACGCATTCAGCAGCTCAGAAAACAACTATTGCGAGCAGAATAAGAATGAAGTGATACTTCAACGATATCTTGTAATGCATACCAGGGCCTGGAGCTACGGGTGGGGGGATGGGGCATGTGCCCCGGGGGGCTGTTTTAGGAGGGGTACCACTGGGTGTGTGGGTGGAGAAGTTCTCCCTTGGTGGGGGGGCAACTCAGAGCCTTTGCCGCAGGTGAATGTCTAGCTTCCCCGCTGATGCGTATTGAACCTTGTGATACATAAGATAGCAGCAAGGAGACAATAACAGCTTTGTGAACTATCGCTATAGCATTTGAAGAAGAGCTCCGGGAAAAAGTATTCTTCACCTTTGCAGTGGGGCCACCCCCCGCACTGCAAGGCTGAGTACTCGTTTTTGTTGTTTTGTTGTCTAGGAACCCTTGCAATGGGGCTAACCCCCCCCCCCCCCTCCCCCCCCCCCCGCCACAGCAGTCTAAAATCCTATGAGTCATCAAAACCTATACAGCGTATAGGACATGAGGACACCAAAGGTTATATTATCAATGAAGCGGAGGAGGAGGGGAGAGGCTGCAGGTCTGGTGGCCAGTCAGCTCCAAGGTTCAGGTGAGTATAACTTGTTTATTTTACACCCTAGATAAAAACAAGAACTTATCCCTTGCAGTGCTCCACTTGGAGTTAAGAATCATTTTCCCAGAGTTCTTCTTTAAAGTGTTGCTAAAAAATTGTATATATTGGAGCTTACTGGTCCCTACACGTGGTGGCTGCATTCGTCTTCTTTTTTTTCAGCTTTTTTCGCCTTTAAATCTCACCAGATTTATTGATCTGTATCTATGGAGGAGCAACATTGTTACTCTAGCATAGGAAGTGTGTTGGGTCTACAAAGCACCTCTGTAGTATATATAGTTCTCATTTACATTGGTGGACAGTGAAGTGCTCCCTAACACTGGTTGGAAGTGGACCCCTACTGTTGATCAGTAGGAGAAAGGCCCAATACATTGGTGGTCAGTAGGAAGAATGCTCCAAATATTGGTGGCCAGTGGGTAGAAAGTTACATACATTGGGGGTCAGTGGGAAGAATGGCCCTTACATTGGTGGTCAGTGAGAAGAATGCTCCTTACATTGGTGGTCAGTGGGAAGAATGGCCCTTACATTGGTGGTCAGTGAGAAGAATGCCCCTTACATTGGTGGTCAGTGGGAAGAATGCTCCTTGCATTGGTGGTCAGTGGGAAGAATGCTCCCTACACTGGCAGTCAGTGGGAAGCATACCCCCTTACAGATAGATGAAATATAATTTGTGTCAGTGGTTACTTGTATGAGAGTCAGACATTGTTAATTGCTCAAGGAACCCCTCAAAGAGCCGCTTAATATCCACAGAAACCTAGTCAAGAAATAATATATTGGATTTATATAAATAATGTTGTAATACTTAATTTTTTTAAATATGTTTTTTCTTCTTTTGTCACAGAGCTTTGAACAACATGGAAGAAACCACCTTTCCATTCATTTCATTTCATTTCAATGACTATACAACTGATGACATTCCACAGGTTCAGGATATAGACCCAAACGTTTACCAGGCAGTAAAAATTGTCACTATCTTTATGTTTAGTGTAACCTTTCTCCTAGGGGTCACTGGAAATGGCTTGGTTATCTGGACTGCAGGATTCAAAATGGAGAAGTCGGTCAACATCATCTGGTTCCTCAACTTGGCCATCGCAGATTTCGCTTTTGACGTCTTCCTCCCGCTTCAGATCACAGAGTGGGTCATGGACAGTCATTGGCCCTTTGGTCAGTTTATGTGCAAAGTGATTTTTACGGCTCTCTTCCTCAACATGTCTGTTAGCACCACCTTCCTGATGATCATCAGCCTTGACCGCTGTACATCTGTTATGTGCCCGGTGTGGTCAAAAAACCACAAGACCCTCAAGATGGCTACGTCAGTCTCCATTCTTATCTGGACGGCCTGTTTTATATTCAGCACGCCGTACCTTGCTTTTTTTGACACTATTCATGACTCTGACAGTAATATTTCATACTGTCTCCCCATGTATTCAGATGATGACCGCGTAGACGAAGAGCGGTACAAAGCCATGCTCATTACCAGATTTGTCACCATGTTCCTCATCCCGTTTTCTATTATCGTAACATGCTACAGCCTTATCGTAATTCGACTGAGAAGAAGGAAAAGTCTTTCTACTTATGGCCATTCATAGAGTACATGGATGTGGAAGTTAACGACAGTGTGGATGTTATTATGTCTCACATTGTCTATGCCGTGGGTTTCTTTAACAGTTGTGTCAACCCTCTGGTCTATGCCTTCATTGGGAGGGATTTTAAGAAGAGTTTACGGAAGTCTGTCCCTTTCCTTTTGGAGAGCACGTTCAAAGAGAAGTTTCAAACGACGAACCCTTACAGTCAGACCATGGTGGAAACAGAAATGGAGACTTATAACTGAAGGGAAGCAAAACAAATGGCAAACGCACTCATCAACTCATAACCAGCTCCAAAGCAAGGTGCGCAAGGGCTTTATACAGTACAAAAGCAAAAAGTTTCCCAGCACACTCACCAGCCAGCATGCAAAAAAAAAAAACCTGTCTCACCGCTAAGTTTAAAAAAACAGAGGTTTTAGATACACGTCTTCTGCAGAATATGCAAACCGGATCTGATCCCTGGGCCTCTGCTGTAGCTGGCGGTGGTTCTACCTGCTGAGCCACCTTAGAACCTTATATAGCTCCTTGCCTGATCTCCTGTGTAATCCTCAGTTATACCTAATCTCTGCTGAACTCTGAACTCTTTGCTCCTCCCTCGAACTTCCTATTCAAGCCATGCTTCTGCACCTCCTGGTTGCCAGATTATTGTGCTCCTGCCAATATCTTGCTTCCTTGCTCCTCCTGTGATACAATCCGCTCATACTGTTACTCGTGTACTGACCTTTGGCTGCTGATTCACCGACTACTCTCATCGTCTTCTGCTTCATACCTGATACCTTTGGCTACTGACCTCGGCTTGTTCGCTGACTACGCTTCTGCCTGCTCCTCCACCACTACCCTCTGCTATCTGAGCCTGATCCCAGATCGTGACACTCTGTGTAATGCGGTCCTAACTCTAACCTATGAAAGTCTCCATCTTGGAGCACATGTAGCAAAAGATAAAATTGGGTGTAGGTTCGCCGGGAGGCAGCCCAACCTCCTTAAGGGCACAGGGACACACAAGGGACCCCCGCACATCACAACTGCAGCTGCCGGGACCTCCAGCCAACATTTAAAATTCAGCCATCAGCCTCCAAAGTGAAAAGCTATTTACCCACCTTTCTTTTTTTTATCTTTGAATCTTTAAAATAAACAAAACATTTTGTAATATTTGAAGCCATAGCAGGTAAACAGGTGTCAGCCAACAGTGTTTGGTGGTTCCAGAAATCATATTCGCACAATGTATCGCCACTCGGCAGTAAACCCTCAGCAATTAGAAACATCTTAGGGGAACTCTCTCTCTCTATGATCTCTCTCTCTCTCTATGATCTCTCTCTCTCGCTATGATCTTTCTCTCTATAATCTCTCTCTATATATATATAATCTTTCTCTCTATGATCTCTCTCTCTCTCTCTACAATCTCTCCCATCTCTCTCTCTCTACAATCTCTCCCATCTCTCTCTCTCTCTATGATCTCTCTCTCTCTCTACAATCTCTCCCATCTCTCTCTCTCTACAACCTCTCCCATCTCTCTCTCTATGATCTCTCTCTCTCTCTATGATCTCTCTATGATTTCTCTCTCTATGATCTCTCTATGATCTCTCTATGATCTCTATGATCTCTCTCTCTCTCTCTCTCTCTCTCTCTCTCTCTCTCTCTCTCTCTCTCTCTCTCTCTCTCTCTCTCTCTCTCTCTCTCTCTCTCTCTCTCTCTCTCTCTCTCTCTCTCTCTCTCTCTCTCTCTCTCTCTCTCTCTCTCTCTCTCTCTCTCTCTCTCATCTACCATCTTTATCCTTCTGTTTAAATGTCAAAACAAATTTGATGATGGAACCAACGGATTGTTGAAACATGTTGGTTCTTTGGAACCGAATATGTCCCTGTTAAATAATGTAGCAATCAGCAAAGGAAAAGTTGTGGTTTGGTTATGTGTCAAGTAAACAGCCATTACCAGACCTCTGTAGTCATTTGAACAAGTTATAATTGTGTTTAGAAAACTGGAGCACTTGTCTGACTTGTAGAATCTGTAGGGACAGATGTTTCGGCTGCCGAAACATTTCAGCTGAAAATGGTACTATGGGCAAAAACCCAGGAGTACCATAATGGCTGAAAATGCGGTGCATCCTCAGCTTCTCTTCTGCCCACTGGACGTTGGTCTGTGTCCCCTCCGATCTTCACTGCTCTCCCCGCCTTCATTGGCAGAGGCAGCAGGGATCGGAGGGGACACAGAGTCGACCCAGCTTCTGGTGCCCACCGTGGAGAAACTGTCAGGAGGCCAGTGGGGGTGGTGCAGGAGGAGAGCTTGGCCTCCTGACAGCGTCTCTTCTCCTTCGTTGGGCGCCAGCAGCTGGATTGACTCTGTATCCCCTCTGATCCCTGTTTCCACTGCCTACACAGGCGGGGGAGAGTAGCAGGGATTGGAGGAGACACGGACCGGCGCCCAGGGGGGAAGAGCAGTCAGGATGGAGAGCAGAGTACAAACACTGACCTCTGAGTGTTTGTAAATAGCTGAGGACATAGTAAGCTGACTGTGTCCCCTTTTATGAATTAACAGGAAATGCTCTACATCACTTCCTGTTCTTTCATGATTGTGGACATAGTAACTGATACTATCTCCTCAGTTTATGAATGGACATCAGTTGACAAATGTTTTAATTTCGGTTTCGGTCTAAAAATTTCCTTTGGGTGCATCCCAACTTATTTGTGCTAGTTATGCTGCTACCATTAGAAATACACCAACTGCAGTTTCCTAGTAGAACACAAGATGGCAGTAGAGTACATGTAATACTTTCTCTGGATCTTTTTTAGATAATTTCTGTAAAAATGTCTTAATGTTCCTCAATCACGTTTATAGATTTTTACAGGTTTTTTTTTTTTTTATGCACCTCTGTATGATGCATTTGATACAACAGACAATTGTTATGTATTTTGTAAAGTGTGTCTTATTCATTTCAAGAGGAAATATATGTACTGTAGGCTTTACTGTATCTCCGAACGCTGAATGTACTGATAGGTCTGTAAAACAATAGAAGGCTCATAAACATTGTAAAATAAATAAGTTGATGTTTCATGACTTCAACCAATGAGGAATAAAACTCTTATTTGTATGGAAATTGATACATTCTGATACCGTCTGCTTTAACCAGTTGACATCCGCGGTGGTAAACCCCCTTCCCATCCAGGCCATTTTTCAGTATTCAGCGCTGCGGTACTTTTACTGACATTTATTCCGTCATGCAGCGCTGTACTGAAATTAATTTTATACCCTTTTTTAAGGACAGATAGAGCTTTCTTTTGGTGGTATTTATTCACCACTACGGGTTTTATTTTTTACTATATTACGGAAAAATTACCGAAATAAAAAAGAAAAAACAGTTTCCCCTATATTAAATGATAAAACATTTATTATTACCCAATTTTTTGGTAAAATATAAAAGACGGGGTCACGTCGGGTAAAAAGACACCAAACATGTCAAGCCTTAAAATTGCGTGCGCGCGCGAAACCTAAAAAAACAGATAATACCCAAAATTGGCCATAGGCAACGCTTTAAAAGCTTTTACCGCTCATCAGTTTAGTGTTATCAGTGATTGATGGCCCTAAAATGATTGCTCACACTGCAACGTTCGCGGCGATATGTAAAGTGTGTAGCGCGTTAGTTGCCGTGTAGTTGGCGTCCGAAAAAACAAGCACATATATACGATCGCCTATATGTGAAACACCCGGTACCGGGTGTTTGTATTGGTCGGGTCTTTTCTGCCCGTGCGCGCCCGCTAGGGGGCGCGCGGGAGCAGAAAAAAAATGCCGTCCAGAGACGGCAACCCGCCAATGCTGCAGTGCCGTCCGTCCGTTTTTTTACAACGGGCGGACGGCAAGTGGTTAAAGAGTACATAAACCCAATGATATAAGTAATATGTTGCAGTTGATCAATTCTTAAATTTGGTGGCTGCATCAGTTGTTCTTTTTTTTCTTCATTTTTTACCTTTTTTTTTCACCTAATGATTCTAACAATAACACACTTCCCGTATTAGCGTAGCTACATTCACTTCTCCATTGGATCTATAGAGGAGCAATGGAGCCACCCTTGGACAGCAGCATGGTCACCCTGTGGAGAAGGGGGTGTAGGTTTAGATGGGCTTTGCATAAGTGACTAACAAATTACAGATGAACTCCAGCTAACACTTTTTAAGCAGTTCAAGCAACAGTTTTTTGGGGGGGATAAATGATTTCCATACATGAATAACAGCTAAACCATTGTAGGCACCCCATCAAGTAGTATTTCATTTTTGCAATAATGAATCCAGATCAAATTAATATCCATTGCCCAGCAAAGGATTTATTTTTTATTAATTGTTTCCATGCACTTACAGTCATCCTGTTTCCAAACAGCTCCAACTCTCTCAGCACGGCATCCCTGAACTTTCGGTCCAGTGCAAGATCACAAGGGTCAAAGCAGTCTCCAGCAGCTGTTCATCTACTTGTTTGGAGAAGGATAGAGTGAGGAGCGGGGTCAGGGAGGAGAGTTGTCTGGACAGGAAAGAGAGGGGCAATGATTGAGCACTCACCCCTGAACCCTAAATGCCCTGAACATTAGGAGGGTGCCTTGCAGGGAGGGGGGGTAGGGGGGGTTTGCAAAGCCTAGTCCAGTAATATGGATTTTCAGGGGAAGCCCACCCAAAAAAACACCACTAGACTAATGATTTCCAACCACCCTTAGTTATCTCTTTCACTAGACTGCGAATAAACGCATCTGTAGAGTACACAAGTACCTTGAAACTCCAGGCATGCAAATATTAAGATACCAAAATTGATAAAGTTTGTAAAATTGATCACATTGAAGCTGCCGTTCACAATGAGGGTCCAGTAGAGAAAGGTATGAGTGGAGAGTACAAGGTATATGAGTATACAGATACATATATTCACGGCTGTCATTATGAGGTAAGCTAAGGGGTGTTGCCTCAGAAGACATCTCTTTGGGTCACATGGGGGGGGGGGGCAAACTCGCGCGGGGCACACGGGGGGGGGGGGCA